AAAAAAAAAAAATAATAATAATAATTGGGTCCTGCCCCCAAGAGGTGTGCCATACACCGTGACCCTCCACCTCCCTCCGTCCCTCCCCTCCGCTCCGCTCCCTCATCCCCGTATCCCACCCCTTGTATTAGCCCATCTATAGCCTTCATATTAGAATTGAGTACCTTGGATTCTTGCTTCTTCACTCTTGTGACGCTTTACCAAGAAGAATGCATTCCAACTCAATCCAGGTGAATACACAAGACGTAAAGTCTCCATCTTTTGTAGTGGCTGAATAAGTATTCCATGGTATACATATGCCAGAACGAGTTCATCCATTCCTGGGTTGGTGGGCATTTAGGTTGTTTCCACATTTAGGCAATGGTAAATTGAGCTGTGATAAATAGTCCAGTGCAAATGTCCTTATGATAAAATGATTTTTTTTTCTTCTGGGTAGATGGCTGGTCACGGGATTGCACGATTAATGGGAGGTCTGATTTGAGTTCCTTGAGGATTCTCCATACTTCCTTCCAAAAAGGTTGCCTTAGTTTGCAGACCCACACCAGTGTACAAGCGTTTCCTGTCTCCACATGCACACCAGCATATGAAAGTTTGGGACTTTGTGATGGGGGCCATTCTCACTGGGGCTAGGTGATATCTCAGGGTGGTTTCGATTTGCATTTCTCTGATGATTAGGGACGACGAGCATTTTTCTGTATGTTTGTTAGCCATTCATTTGTCTTTTTTTTTTTTTTTTTGAGACAGAGTCTCACTTTGTTGCCCTCGGTAGGGTACTGTGGTGTCCCAGGTCACAGCAACCTCCAGCTCTTGGGCTTAGGTGATTCTCTTGCCTCAGCCTACCGAGTAGCTAGGACTGTAGGTGCCATCCACAATGCCCGGCTATTTTTTTGTCATTGCAGTTTGGCCAGGGCCAGGTTTGAGCCTGCTACCCTCGGTATATGGGGCCAGCGCCCTACACACTGAGCCACAGGGGCCGCCTGAGCCCTCTTTTCTATTTTCAGTTGCTAATGTCAAACTTTATCTTTAAAGTGACCTTTTTCTGGCTATTTTTTTTGGTTGCAGCCGTCATTGTTGTTTGGCGG